CACCCATTCAATGAACTAGTTTTTCTCAACTGAATCTGCGGTGAAGGACTGACTGATTGCTCTTTGGGATTTTGTGTGTTTGCTTGTTTGTTTTTATTTGTGGGCTGTCTTACCTTTTTCCCCGTAACAACGATGGTTAGTGCGAGGGTTACAGAGGCCATAGAATTTCAGAGAAAGGTCAGGTTCCTATCAATAACCAGGGAAAGCTTCAGGAAGCTGAAATGCTGAGAGTCACTAGAATTTCATAGACTGTAAACTTTTTAATTTGAAGACACTCTGGAGAGACCCAAATCCATTCCCTAATTTTCTAAGGAGGTTATTGAGCTTTGAAAAATAATGACGTAATGGGGTTGGGATGGGATGAGACAGAGTGAAACTTAGAAGCCAGGCCATAGGGGAGGGAAGACATAAGACCCACTGGAGGATGGAGAGAGGATCAGTTGCCTGATTATTCAGAAGTTTTTTTTACTATGGGCAAAGGTGAACTATTTTAACAAAAGAAACTGAAATATTAATGTGAACAAGATATAAAACATTTGGATATGGCTCTTGTTAGGAAAAAAATATATGAGATCAGGGAATTTCTTTGAGGGATGAAGATGGAGGAGAGGCATTGCACTTTACTTGGAAGTGCGACTTTCCCAGTATGAACGCAGAAAACAAAAGGATAAGCCTTCTTCCATTTTCCTTCTTCCCTCCCCTCCCCCAATCTCTCTGACTCTTCTTCCTCCTCGTCCATTTCTCATCTCATTGCTGAGTGGGACACCAAGCTGGGTGACATGGGGCTCTCCTCCATCGCTGCATCCCTAGTGATCAGGACGATGCCATCCAGGGAATTTACCCGCTGGTGTGCGTGTGTGTGTGTGTGTGTGTGTGTGTGCGCGCGCGCGCGCGCGTGAGAGAGATGTGGGGCACTCTCTCCTCCATTTTGCAGTCTCCCCTCCCCCACAATCAGACATCTGGGTTAAGTGCTGCCTCTGTTAGAAAGAAAACTACAATAATAAAAAGCAGCAATTTGAATTTTGAATTCCATCTGGAAATGATTAGAAGTGTGAATTTTGTTAATGGAATACGTCATCATTGTTCACAAAAAAGCTACAGAAATAGGCTTTGCCATTATAGTAAAGGCAACTGTAATTTTATTTTGGAACTCCTTCTGCCTCCAGTTTCCTCATAATTTCTAACCAAATAACTGAAATTAAAAATTGGTCAGCCATGCTCCGATAACACTACTATTAAATCTTCTCAATACCATTACTTTCACTGTTGTCTGCATAATAATTCGGGAATGAATCAAAGAGAACCCGAGCCCTGAAGTTTGCTTCTAAAGCCTTTTCAAGCTCTAGAATTAGTCTTGGGGTAATTTAATCCCTAGGAACAACCATGCTACTGATATTTTGGCTAGTCCGTTTTGATGATGCAAAGTACCTAGAGAATAACATTCTGTTTCATGGTGGAAAACTGGAGTCCTTTCTTCCAGTCAGAAGTGTAAGGACTCTTGATGAGATACAGTGGAAAAAATAGAAAAAATATATGAAGCTGGCTTCCTTCAACCTCTCTTAGGATAGTTAATCAGCTCCGGAAATAACTTTACCAAAATGGGAAGTTTCTTTTGGAGTTTAAAGAAAAAAGGTTTTGGGTATTTAATGGAATTACTCCTTTGATCCAACCTATAAATAAGATATGTGACTTTCTAGCTTCAAAATATGTCAAATCAGACCTCTGTGTCTCTGCTTCTGATACTGCCCCCTTAGTCCAGCCCTCTCCTGCATGGGTTCTCCCTGCTCTGACCCCTGCCCCTCCCACCCGCCCTCACACAACAGCCAGTGTCCCCCTCTTACAGTGTGAGATCACCTCCTTCCCACCTCGTCCTCCTGCTACCATCCTACAATGAGAGAAGTTTGGATTCAAGTCTCACTGGGTCTCCCAAATGCTCCACCCTCCCCGACTTTCTGTTGCTTCCTCTCCAGCACTCTGCTGTTCCATTCCTAAGACCTTACCACAACTCATAAATATTTTGTTTGCTTATTTTTTTCCTGTGTCATCTTGTGTACCAGATTGTATGATTCATGAATTTGGGAGTGTTACTGTTTCAGTCTCATTTATCTTTGTTTCCTAGTGGCAAGCTCAACGACCAGCCTGTAGTAGACTTTTCCTCCAGCGTTTTTTTGTTTGTTTGTTTTTTGTTTTTTATAAAAACTTTCAAACAAGGGTGCCTGGGTGGCTCAGTCATTAAGCATCTGCCTTCGGCTCAGGTCGTGATCCCAGGGTCCTGGGATTGAGTCCCACATTGGGCTCCCTGCTCAGTGGAGAGCCTGCTTCTCCTTCTCCCTCTGTTCCTCCTCCCACGCTCATGCTCTCTCGCTCTCTCTCTGGCTCGCTCTCACTCTATCTTAAATAAATAAAATCTTAAAAAAAAAAAACTTTCAAACATGCAGTAAAGTTAAGAGAATTTTACAACGGACATGTGAATACCTACAACCTAGTTTCTACTAGGCTTTCTTCATTAGATATCTATTCATCTCTCCATTCCTCTCTCTGTACATGGTTGGCTTTTAATATGTTTGTTAAATGAATGAATAAACAAATGAATGAGTGCTACTCTTTTGGTTGATAGATGGAAGCTATTCATTCTGAGGTTGGCCCAATACAAATACTGAGCTTCCTTGATTCTGCGTGGATACAGGGTATGTCATGTGCTCTAGGATGTGTATCTGCTAAGCTCTGTATTGTGAACTGGGCTAGATACTGGGGATTCAGAAATAAGAAAAAATTTCCTGCCTTTCAGGGGCACATGCTCTGCTAGTGAGAGAATCTAAATAAGGTAATGATGGAAGAAGAAAGAAGTAGAAGATGTGAACTAGTGATTTTTTTTTTTTTTTTTTTTTTTAGTACACACAACTTATTAACAAAGACTGACCGGTGTTATCTTGGTGTTAAAACTGCCTGCTTTCTCAGCATTTTGTGTTTTTGGTTGCACAAGTAAGGAAAAGCAGTTGTTGACTTGGCCAATATCCGTGCAGGAACATTTTATGATTCCAAGTTTAGTGAGTGACAAACACAAGCCCATTTTAACCATGAAACTTTTGACTATTCCTTTTTTTTTTTTAAAGTTCTGTGACCACTGTTGAAATATACAAATAATAGAAGAAAAGAAAAAGCATATAAAAAGTGTTTGTAATCTAGGCTAACACCGGTCATGGTAAAGAGCATCTCTGCCTAGCAGGACAAATTGACAGAGTAGCGCAGGTGGGGCTCTCTTCCCTTCTGTATGCAGATACGTTTTTCCCCCCCATACTATGTTTGATTATATTTGATGAACCCTGTGTTTATCATTTTGATTGCTCAGTGGAAATGCTTACCTTCAAAGTGACAGCCTGGGGGCAGTGCTTTGCAATATCCTTTATTAGGCTTTACTGTGTCTCTTCACATTTATTTTAACTCTTATTTTTAGAAGGAGGATTTTAAGGTCAATGCACTATCTTTGTAATTGAATTCCAAGAGTACTTAGCAGGGGTCCTTGTATATAAGCATGTTGAATCATTGTGAACTGGGAATGCATCCAAGTTCATGCTTAACTGAGAATCCTCTTTTAAATATTTAAAAGTGAAAGCGCTCTTTCAAAATAGGCCTATGGGCCTGGACAGCGTAGAAATGGGTGAACACAGCACCAGGGTAAGCAGCAAAGGTGGAACTGGGACCTGGGCTTCTTGTTCCTCTGACCTCCGCTGTCTCCTCATGCCCTTGCCTCTTTTAATCGATGTGGTTCTGTTTCCTAACCTGTCGGTGACCCCATCCCATCATCTTTCGTTTGCTCCCATTGTCCTCCCACCGGCTCCAACGTGCCACGTATTTCCGGGCCCAGAGGAGCCCTGCCCTGGACCTGCTTCCTTGCTTTGCCACTAGCAGCTGAAGGACCTTGAACAAGAAATGCGTCTTTTCCAAGTTCCACGTCCCTTACCTGTAACTGGGAGACCTTAATATCTACTCCAACATGTAAAATGGGTTCACTATGGAGAAGACCCTTAATAATTGTTCATTTTAACCCGCTGTTTTAAGATCAGTTGCCCCAATGGATTATAAGAAAAGATAAGTTTAGGGGCACCTGGGTGGCTCAGTCGTTAAGCGTCTGCCTTTGGCTCAGGTCATGATCCCAGGGTCCTGGGATCGAGCCCCGCATTGGTTTCCCTGCTCAGCGGGAAGCCTGCTTCTCCCTCTCCCGCTCCCCATGCTTGTGTTCCCTCTCTCGTTGTCTCTCGCTCTCTCTGTCAAATAAATAAATAAAATCTTTAAGAATAAAAAAAAAGTCTGGGGACAAGTGTGGATGGAAGCACCTAGATAGTTGGTGCAATATGAGGAGAAAGCAAATCTGGAGGTGACTGTCTTATTTACAAAATTAAGCCTAAGTTTATTTGGCAAAAATCAACAAGTCCAGGTTCAGATCTGGTTTATCGTCAAAACACGTGTTTTTGGTTTTGTTTTGTTTTGTTTTTTAACAAACATGCATGTTAATTTGGCATGTCAAACATCTTTCTCTCTAGCCTTCCTTGGAAATGTTTTTTCCATAACACAAACATGGGTGCAAATACTGTCCAAAAACTATTTACATTTTGACCCTCAGAATTACGAACCTTACTATTTATTGAAAGGAAAGACGAACTGTAAGGTTTGGTCTTTGGCATTCACATTTGATTCAGCAGTACAATTAAAAACCTGTATTTGTTTTAAGATAAACACTTTGAAGGAAATTTAATAAATCTTGTTTTTGCTCTGCAAAAGAGCCACTATATCAAAGCATTTAACTGGAGCTGTCGAGTTCCTGCTGGTAGACTATTACTTCCAGCCTATTTATTAGCTTTTCTTCCTGTAGCCCAATACGTGCTTCCCCCCACCCTCCTCCACTGAGTGAAATCACAGAAAGAAAGCAATTTCTTTTTTCTTCCCTCCCCCCACCCCCCGGGCACCATGCAAGGCAAGTCAACATCACAAGTCATGATATCTGAATTTACTTTGATTATATTTTGTTCCTTACACTTAATATTTTTTGTATTATAATACTTACTGGGTTATCTAAAATCAACATTGTTGATTTTAAACTCTTATAAAGCCAGACTTTTAGAGGCATTTGAAATAATTCATGAACCATTCTGAAAAGAGATAATTGCCTCCCACCTATTCTTTTGCACTTGAAGTAAAAGAATTTTAGGTATCAGCAGTTTGCTAGAAAATAAGACTTTAGGGGGCCCATATAACTTATTCACATCTTTTTATATGTGTAAACAAATAGGATACTTTTGACAGGAGCTTATGAACAATTTTTTTTTTTAAATATACCCTTTAGTACAGAATAAATATCAAGGGAGCATTTTAAACATGATTCTGGTAGGTCTCTTATGAGCCTACTTTTCAGAAAAATTTTATATGAAATTTCCTGATTAAAAAAAATCTAAAGTTGTAGATTTAAGTTGAAAGAATATGGTTGGTATGTGAGGCAAGGTGTATGTATTATATGGACTAATGCACCATGTAGCATGTACAAAAAAACCTAAAAGACATCTATCCCACACTGCAGGCAAGATATATGAGTGCATAGACAAGAGAGTTTTTCAGATCATACAATGAAAGAAGACACGTATTCACGTAACACCGGTTAAGTTGTAAGCAACATATACATAGGCAAAGCCAATTCACAGAATGCAAACAGGATCAGTTAGAAATTGTACTGTGATAGCCACACATTTTGGAGAAAAATTCCCAAGCCAGACGAATGTGGATTGGGATAAAAACATAGGCGGTATACACCACCATAGCAAAAATGGTCAGTAAGATTGTATTGAACATGGATTGCTCCCAGGGCTCCAAGACAGCACAGCAGCTAATGATTTGGTATTGATAGTAGAGCCAGGAGAAATAGTCCTTCACACGCTTGAAATCCATTGTTGGCTCCTTCAAGCTGCAGAAAGTCTGTCCTGTTAACAGATTAGAAGAAAAATAAAATGAGGAACCAAACACAGAATCTCCTTAGATTTTCATGATCTCAGCATGTTAAAACCTTTAAAAGAATGTCAATGATCATTGGATGGATTATTTATATGAATATTATATTAGAAATAATTCACAGTATATTAATCATAGGAGCTCAAAATATTGCCACTATGGATAATAATTACTACCAGGATTAATGGCAACAATATTATTAATAATAGTAATAGTTATCTAAAAACGATAATTGCTAGTGGATAATCTAGTGAAAATACCTAAAAATCAAGGCTAACCACATTTTCTTTAGCCATGTATGCAAAGAGTGAGAAGTGTGAATATTCTATTTCCTACAACATGTATTCTGGAAGAAGATTTAAAGAATGGTGTGCAGAAAAGAGTTAATACAGCAAGCCTGAGGCTGCTATATTTACAAGGGTCTGCTTGCAAGTTTTTGGCCCTTGGCCAGCATCTGGGAACTTGCTTTCGGAATGTTCTCTCTATTCCCTAATGGATAAGGATGATTCACTATGTCTAAACTGTGCAAACACTGTAATTTTTGGTGAACACCTGCCTTATTCTGGAAGTCTGAATTTTGATAATTGTTAGGCAAAGGATGTCCACAGAACCAGCCCCAATTAAAACCCTGGTGCCGAGTCTCTAATGAGCTTCTCTGGGGAGAAATATTGCATATGTATCACTGCACTTTTTGCTAGTGGAGAAAGAAGCACGCTTGGTTTGTCCACTCATGGGAGGCAGAGAGCATCAGAAGCCTGTAAAGATATGTTTTCCAATTCCACCTGTATCTTTCTTCCTTGCTGATCCTGTTGTACATCCTTTCACTGTAATAGTCTCTAGCTGTAAGTATAAACATATATTGAGTTTTGTGAGTCTTTCTAGTGAATCACTGACTATGTGGGCGGTCTTGGGGACCTCCAAAGCACATGGAAGCCCAAAGGTGGGTGATCATTTGGTTTTTGGGTAAAGAAATTATGAAAACCACGTAAAAAGGTTTTGTTGGTCCCCAGATAGAATCACACTTACAACCACATGCATGTAAAACTTCCTAGAAAGAAGGGCATCTATTATTTCTTAAAAAGATTCTTGGGAAGATTCTGTAAACTCCCACAGATACTATGGGAATACAAGCTGACCCTTGTGCCTCTTCTGCATATTCCTAAGAATATAATGGTGCCACATCCTCTAAGTCCACTTTGCTTACATTTACTATTCAAATCACAGTTAAAGTTTTTGAAGATAATTTCTACCTTCTGACCTAAACACGTCTCTCTTTTCTTTGATTCTCTTTGAGTAAAATAAGATGTTTTTGCTCCCTAAGACTACGGACTCCTCAGGCTATGGGGAGACTTTCATGATCCTAAAGCCCGCCACAAAGATGGTCATAAGTAAATATGTGCTGAATGAATGAGTGAATGAATGAAGAGTAACCAACTTAAAAAAAAATAATTATAGATCACTCATAGTCCCAACCTAAGTAGGATATGGTTAGCTATTGTTGACTTTCAACAGCTTGGTTTTGATAAGTAACTATTTCTGATAAGGGTAATTTCCACAAAAACTCAAAATAGAAAGTCTTTGTTGCGATTATCTGTAATAATGGCCAGGATAATCCAAGTAAGTCGATGGTACAAACTGAAGTCATTGTGCTTTCTTATGAAACGAAAAGTCAGTCTCCCATCTGTCCTAGAAGCCAGAGCAGGAACTAAGTAATTGGATTGAAATGCCTTGTCCTGGTTGGTGGACCTTGGTTAAGAAGTCACTTCCAACATTCTTTTTCATTCCTAGCTCTGGCTGCAGAGAAAGAGCAAAGGCCAATAGAGTTTGGTCTCAGAGGAAATGAATGACAGAAGTGGTCATTTCAGTGAGCAATATTATCCAAGCAATCAACATTTTCCATTGAGAGGCCAAAATGGAGAAAATTAGGAGGTATCACTATTTGAGCTTTTAGGCTGTCCTACTAGACAACTGTATATTTCAAACTAAACTTACTTGTTTAAAGATCTCATTTACAGCTACCCATATTTGCTTCCTCTTCATTACCTAGATATGGTTCAGGGTGACACTGGGTAACTGTTCGGGAATGTGAGAAAACATTCATCAGGTATCACGTCCAGGCTGTACTAGGCAAAGGTGGAAGACCAATGGCTCAGACAGGCACAGACCCTCCCCTTAGGAAGCTTCGTCCAGTTGAGGAGAAAGGTAGCAATCAAGTGGTATACACAAATATGTATATCAACTACATTATGCCCTTAAGGAAAAGAGCAGCGTATGAGAGGCTATGGGAAACCTGATCCAGTCTTAGCAAGTCTTGGAGGAAGAGATGCTTGAGATAAGATCTGAAGGATGACTATAAGTCATACAGATAACATCGATAGTCAGGTGGGGAGAATGGCCAAGAGAGGGATCAACTTATGTTTGTGCAAAAGTCAGAGGTGGGAAGAGGTTTGACAGATGTTTGCGGGGGTCAGGGAACGGAGCCATAGACACCTGGGGATGGAGAGTGGGAGTAGGAGAAAACTGAAGAGAAGGGGGTGGCCAGAGTTAGGCCAAGCACAACAGGGACTACTTGGATAAGCTAAGTATTTTGTCTTTATCCTATGAGTGAGGGGGGCTGTGGTGGGTTTGAGACAATAAAGTGTTAAGCTCATAGGGACATGTGGCCTTCTCTGCATTCTAAAGCCAAGATGAAAAGATTTTCAAGACCAGTCATTTCAGAAAATCTATACCTCTGCTGTCCCAAGGGTGTTACTCATTCAGAATCAACCTCCTACCAAAAATCTGCTTAAAATATTCTTAATACTCTTTTCACTTTTATAAATGAGATAAACGACTCATTTAGAAATATCACTGGCTTGGGCGCCTGGGTGGCTCAGTTGGTTAAGCGACTGCCTTCGGCTAAGGTCATGATCCTGGAGTCCCGGGATGGAGTCCCACATCGGGGTCCCTGCTCAGCAGGGAGTCTGCTTCTCCCTCTGACCCTCTTCCCCCTTGTGCTCTCTATCTCTCATTATCTCTCTCAAATAAATAAATAAATAAAATCTTAAAAAAAAAAAGAAATATCACTGGCTTTTTCTCTATACTTTTTCTCATTTTAGCTTTTAAAAATACACACAACAAATTGCCTGGCCATAGCTTTCTCTTCTATTTTTAACTTTTTTCTTTTTTAGTAGTCTCTGCCCCAGTGTAGGGTATAGATTTCTCTTCTAAAATTAAGTTTCTTGCTCGAGCAGCCCCGATGGCCACCTCGACTGCAGTCTTGTGAGAGACTGTGAGCCAGAGGCATGCAGCTAAGTTGTGCTCAGATTCCTGAGCCACAGAAACCGTGAGACAGTCTGTTGTTTTCAACCGTAAAAACCAATCAATTGAACGACAAACAATAGATCTGAAGCACACCAACGTGCATTCACCAGAGGTGGATACCTGGTAAGACCTTGATATATACTGCTAACAATTTAAAGAATCAAGATTTTAAAAGTTTTTCTTGCCAGTTTTCCTGGCCCCTGTGTCACTTCCCAGGACCCTGTGTCACTTCCCAGTTCTCTCAGGAGCCAGCTAGGACATGTGAAAATGCTTATACCGTCACATCTCACTTCAGTCTCCTGAAGCCTAAAAGTCAACAAAAGGCATTGATTTCTCCCCTCACTTTGATTCTTTCTTCCCCTTATTGATGAAAAGCAATTTTAAAGATGGTTTATTTGTTCCTTAGCTGGAAAGGTAACTATATAAATTAGTCATGGGGAGGAAAAGTATATCATAAGAAATATCGTCAATAATAACTGTAGTAACTTTGTATGGTGACTACACTTACCGTGCTGAGCACTGGTGAGTACGTTGAATCACTGTGTTGTACACCTGAAAGTAATATAAGATTGTATGTCAACTACACTTTAGTTAAAAAAAAAAATTACTAATGCAGCCGGGAAACAAAGGAAACAGAATTATAGTACATTCTAGAATCTATGTGCATTTTTACAGAATAAAAGGGGATAGCATTTTATAAAACATTTAAAAAAAAGAAAAGGTGAGAAGAGAGAGTTGGTTATTATTGGTAAACCATCTGTTACAATCTATTGTTAGAAAAACACTATATTTAGTTTCTAGATTTGCTTAGGTAATATATTTCTACTTCCTTTTGAGCCCATTTTAAAATTTCCTATGGGAATACATCCAAGATTAAAAAAAAAAAAAGTCCTTAAGATGAGTAATGTGGGTAGAAGAATTCACTCATTCATTAACGAATGCATTTTGAGTACTACTGTGTGATTTCTTCTGAACAGTGATGGCTTCAGAAGGAATCTGTCCCCAAAATGGCACTGTAGACAGGAGATGCTCTTATAGGCAGCACACTGGACCATGTCACAAACACGCAGTGGATGAGGGGTCAGTAATGAACACCACATGGGGGATAGGACATGGAAAGATGCTAAGAAGGAAACTAGGAGACTGGGCTGAGTTTGGGGAAACAAGATGGCAGAAATGCCATGAAAGGAATCACCCATTGGTAACTTAGAACTGGATGAGAGCAAACATTTTAATGTCTTAATTTCTCACAGTGAAATGTGGAATTCGTTTGCCCACTTCCTTAAAGACCTAATGCAAAGCTAAACAAAGGACTTAAACTCAAGCACACAACAAATCTCCTTGTTTACAGTTGTGTGCTTTTGAAAGGTGATTTCCATACATGGAAATGAAGGAGGCAGTAGTTTGTTGCCTTTAAAAGAAAACTTCCCTCCAAACTTGATGATTTTTAAAAACTTCCTAGATCTTTAAGGAAGCTGTCCTTTTTTTAGGGGCAGAATTGCTTAAGCAAATAGTGATATGTCTTTGGGGGCCTAGATGGGTATGACTGACAGCTGAAGCTGAGTGATGGGTACACCCTTGGGTGAACTGGGAGGGCTGGGAGCCCCTGCGGAACACAAAGCAATTGAAGCTCCAGGTAAGAAGTAGGGGGTGAAGCAAAGGGCAGCAGCGTTACCTGGAGAAATGGACTGTGAAGCCTAAGGAAAGGCTTTCTCTGGGCCATTGTTTTAAAAACATGAGGACCAGTGTAGGACCACATTCTAAGGTGCCTAATGGATTTGATTTATTAGAGTTTCTTTAGTAATAATAACAACAAAACAATTTATATTTTCAAAGGATCTTTTATAGTTTGAGAAGTGCTTTTTTTGCATTTGCATAATGCAGAGTATGAGTTTGGGAATAAAGATAGATGTTGATTCAAGTCCTGACTCCTCCACATACTGGCTGTGTGACCTTGGCCCAGTTACTTAATTGTTCTGGGTCTCAATTTCCTCACCTGTAAAATGGAGACAATAATCCCTACTGTTTAGGGTTGCTGGAAGGATTAGCAGAAATGCAAGCAAAACATCAAAGATTTGCATATGGAGGAAGGACAGAGATAGGAAGATAGAAACTAACTGGAGAAAGCCTTCCCTTCTTCCCTCCCACCCTCCCATTTATTTACTGAAAATAATTATTGACATGCTGGTAATTGCACTAGAAACTGGAGATTCCATGGTGACAGTCATCATTGCCCTTGAGGATTATAATTCAACTGAGTATATTCCACCAATCTACATTAGAGATAATATTTACCACATATAACAGGTAGCTAAAGTGAAACTCAGAATGTTAATGACTGGATGGACTGTAGAGATCCCCTAGACCAAATTACTCATTTTAAAGAAAAGGACCAAGTCTATGGGGTTGACATCAAATTGATATTAAATTGGTTGACATTGAAATTGGTTTGTCAAACCAAATTGAAGTGACTGGACCAGCTGGAGAACACCTGGTATCTTGGCAGTTGACACTGGATGAATGAAGTGAAAATTCCGGTGAAGGTTTTCTGTGGTCTTAGAAGACTCAAAGTTGAGCAAGGACAATGGATTCAGGTGTGTAGGATATCTAGAAGACCTCAGCCCCTACCCTCTGTTTCCCCAGACTCTACTCTTCCCTTACTCAAGACTCTTTCCTGAATTCCCACCCTTCAGATGCTCCTCTGACCAAATGAGGATCTGGATACCTATTTATTGCAAATGTTACTGGGAACTAGCAAAAATTTAGGTTCTTGTTAGTGATGCACATCTTAGCATGGCTTTACCCATGCTACAATATGCAAAATAATAAATTGTTTTGTTGTTATTATTAGAGAAACTCCGATAATTGGCTTTAGCCATGGCTTGACCCAACTTGGTAAAGCAGAATTTTACCAAGCAGAGGGGAGGAGGAGAGAGAAGGATTATTAGAGTCCTGGGAGACACAGGAAGAGACTGAATCCTGAAGGGAATCCAGGACACTGGGGCCCTGGAAAATAGTAAGGGCTTGGAAGTCCCCTAAGAAGTTATCTTATAATTGATTGGAGAGTAAGTGACTATTTTTTATTTCTGAATGTCACTGCCCTTTTATCAACAGGTGATGATTTTTTCCCCCTCACTCGATTTGTGTACAGTGAGGAAGGAGATAAAGTTGCACCTCTTCTCCCAGAATGAACGGAGAGGACCTGGGACTTATGACCCACATTACTCAGGGGCAGGACTTTGTTCTGGTCTGTATGGACAAGAAAGAATACATAGAGCAACAAGAAAACACCATGTGTTCCCATGAACCCATGTGTATGAGTCATGAAACGAGAGCATTGTGAAGGGAACGTGCAGGGAAGGAATGAAAAAGAGAGGCTGGGCTTGCTCAGGAAGTTCTGTGTTGTTGTTTTCTCTACATGAGAACAGGAGTGGCAGGAGGTTAGGCAACTGCAACGAGGGGGAAGCAGCAGGTGGTTTGGCAGGCTGGAATTGACCTTGTGGACATTGCAGAGGCTTGATCTTGCAGCCCTCCTCCACCTAAAGAAGCTACTCCAAATTACCGGATTTTCTCAGTGTGGGATCTCCCTTTCTAAACATTAGCTAAAAATGAATCTTCCCTCTTGGGGGGGAAAACCCATTTTGGGTTTTGGGTTAAATTTACTTCTAAAATGTCAGAATCTGGGGCTGAGGAGAAAAGTCAGAAAGATGTGCAGTTGATTTTGAGTTAATTCCTTTCCGACTTATTTTGGAACTTCGTGTCAATCACTCAATTTGTGTGTGTGTGTGTTTGTGTGTGTGTGTGTGTGTGTGTGTGTGTGTGTGAGCTTCATATTTGGAACCTGAAAATCTGAGATGTGAAAAAAGTGTCCTGCCTGCTGCAGAGAGAGATGCTGTATCTAAAAAGAGACCGCGTCTATACTCAGAAGTAGCTTTCTTTGGAAAGAACTCAGTGTTTTTTACTCAGGTTCAAGCCTCCCTTTGATTAAGTAATTCATTTTTATTTTTCTTAAAGATGTTATTTATTTATTTGCCAGAGCGAGGAGCACAAACAGGGGAAGGAGCAGGCAGAGGGAGAAGCAGGCTCCCTGCTGGGCAAGGAGCCGGATGTGGGACTAGATTCCAGGACCCTGGGATCATGACCTGAGCCGAAGGCAGACACTTAACTGACTGAGTCACCCAGGGGTCCCTAAGTAATTCATTTTTTAAAAGGAGCAGAGTGATTTCCTCCCAAAGAGTACTGTTTGACAAGGGGGATAAAAAAGTAAATTTAGAGTGGAGAAGACTGATTAGCACTACCTCAGCCAGTGGATCAAGGCCAAGATCAATAGTGATAAATGATGTTGATGGTATGTATCCATGATATCATGGCATGAAAATGGCACTTTACCTCTGCGGTCTTCCCCCAAATAACCCACAACCTCAGTGCAATCATGAGAAAAAACATCAGACAAAATTCCAACAGTGTAGCATCCTGCAAAATACCTGATCAGTACTCTTTAAAACTCTCAAGGTCATCAGAAGCAAGCAAAATGTGAAAACCTGTCACAGCTCAAAGGAGCCTATGGAAACATGACAACTAGATGTAATGTGTTATCCTGGATGGAATCTTGGAATAGAAAAAAAGGATATTAGGTAAAAGCAAAGGAAATATGAATAAAGTATTGGCTTTACTTAATAGCATGTCAACCTTGGCTCATTAATTGCAATACTAACGTAAGGTCTTAATAGGAGAAACTGAGTGCAGGGTATGTGGAAACTCTCTGTACTATCTTCTCAATTTTTCTGTAAGTCTAAAGCTCTTCCTAACAATAAAGTCTATTAATTTTTTGAAAGCAAAATAATTAGGAAAGTCTTGAAAGTCCAGAGTTATCCCTATTCTAAACTCCAATGAACTAAACTCTGCTCTTCTGGGAACGTCTTGCTAATAACTCTGAACATGGTTAAATAATACCCTTTCATAAAGGAATGGCTTTCAAACATTTTTAAACAGAATAGAGAGGGAAAGTACATTTTGCATTGTGATCCAGAGTACACACACACACACACACACACACACACACACACAGCTCTATAACTGAAACAAACATCTCTCACAGTATTACTCTACAGTGCATGCTACTTTCTTTTCTATTCTGTTCTAGTTGATTTAATTCTACTGCATTCTATGTTATTCTCTTTGGTCATTAAAAAATATCCCAGTTGTGAGCTACACCAATTATAACCTATAGTTGGAAACACCCTGCTTTAAGGCTTAACTCAAGTGCCAGCTTCTCTAAGATGCCTCTGCAATGTCCAATATGGCAGCCACTAGTCACATGGGGCAATTTAAATACTTAGTGCTCAGTAGGCACATGTAGCTCATGGCTACCATATTGGACAGCATAGATATAGAACATTTCTGTCATGGCGGCAAATTTTATTGGGCAGCGCTGTGGATTCTCTCTATATCTTGCTTGGACTAATGAAATAGCCTACAAACTTATCTCCTTTCACCTTACAATCTTCCATCCCGATGCTGGAATTAACTTTCTAAAATCACAGATTAATTTC